CCAGAACCAACAACTTGAACAATTAGCTACTATGTTGAGACCAAACCTACCTCCTATTGCAGAACAGGATACCAAACCCTATAACAAACTTGAAGTATTCTCTAATGGTTTTAAATATGATAATGGACCATTATTTAATTAGAGTTATATCCAACAACTCTTCCAGAAATATAGAAGAAATACTGGAAAGAATAAATACCCAATTAGTTGGAAAGGCCCTAATACCCAATGCTGGTGTCGACATATTTATCTACGCCCTCAATCTACCTGTTATCAATGTGAAAGAGATTGTTCTATATGGGCAACTCTGAAAAGAACCTCCTTAAATATCATTATTAGATGCTTCCCAGAACAGATTCTAGTTCCTAGAATTGAAGATGAAGAAGTTGAAATCTTTCATATAACCATCATGGAAAATGTTGAAGAAATTTCTACAAATATACAAGATACAATGAACCCATTCGATTATCAAGACATGGTAAAAACCCTTGCACCAATCCTACCTGAATATATTACCACCTCCTTACAATCCTATCCAAATGTGAAATTTAGTCAAGAAGAAATTCACTATAGAGGAATGCAGTATACCTGGTTCTATATCGAACATATTAGTACTTGACTATCCCAAAAGTCTAATAGAAGAGACTGGCCTAAGGATTAGAAAGGGCCATTAGCTCAATGTTAGTATAGAGATAAACTTTACTTACCATCTGACGAATGCTCTAAATGTCACATTGACCTCCAGTTATAGCATACAATTAAACAATGTTCTTTAGAAGAAATTGCCAATTGTTACTGGCCTATACCTGATGATGAAAACCATGATACTTGGGATGATCTTATTGAAGAAGCTAACCAAACCCAACCTGAAATGAACCTCATCGATGACACCCCAATTGAAAATCCTTTCACAAGACCAGAAAGTGATAACCAGTATCTGCTAAGCGACTATGATCCTAATGAAGAAATGGATACTTTTAGCAATATAGAATTTGATGACTCTGATGAATTTAATATAGAAATAATATTAGTTAATGAACCTTGATGGTTCTTTTCTTTAGAAACCCCCTTCTCAGAATATTATTTAGAATTTAATAATTACTCAGAACACTATCTATGTAATATAGTTTGGTGGTGAGTAGTTAATCTGACTTATTATTATTAGTTATTTTATTTATATATTATATTATATTTTAGGACATTATAATATAACGCTATAGCGAAAAATCGCTAGTACCTCTAAATCACGTGATTAGCAATAATTGCCAGTTTATGTAACGTTAACAATTACTTTTTTGCGTATTAGTAAATTTTAATATATATAATATTCTCAAACTCTAATCTGGAGGTAAGGCTCTAATTCTAACCTAACAGCACGAAATTTTACTTTAAAATCAGTTTTAATAGAAACTTTTTACTCTTGTATGTATACAAATATGGCAAAGTAACAGAATTAATACTTTGATCTGGATTTAACAATTGAAACATTATTGGGCATATGCTAAATCCAGATGTCAATATGCAATAGACCTGGATTAAATCCGGATCCAAGTATTATTTCAATCAGCATGATACATAGTACAAATTTACATGAATACAATCTGTAGTTCATGCAGTTTGCCAAAGGGAGCTATCGTATCGTATTATTTTATTAACTGCAAAACATCAAATAAAGATTGTTAGTAATAATAAAGCAAGTTTCTCAAATATGTAAATAAGCAATGCATTATGTGTATAGTTAAAGTTTGATTCATAAATACATAAGAAATTTGATTGTGCTACATATTCAAACTTTAACTATACATAGTACAAGTTATTAAAATATAACATCTTTAAGATCATTCATATTTGCAATTCTTTTGGTAATGTCCAATGTTACCACATCTTTTGCATCAACATTGTTGCTTCACTTTAGGTTTAACAGCTTCATAAGAAGACTTGAGCCTTTTTGTACCTAATGGACGACCCTTTCCCTTACGCTTTCTTGGATTTTGCAATTGAGGATTTACATTTTCTTTATCAATACTATTATCACTTTGCTGATCTTCATCTGATTCATTATCATTGTTTGATTTATCTGATTTATCATCGATATCATCTTCAGCAAAATCTTGAAGTAAATCGATCAGCTCTTGAGATTTTGACTTGTTCTCCAATGCTTTATTTAAAGCCTTCTTATACATGCTGTAAAGCTTTCCATAAACAATTCTTTGCTCAAAAGTCATCATATTCTCTTTACGAAAGTCTGCTCTTTCTTCTCTGAAAAGATACAAATAAGGAATTGGAGAATTATTTGGTAAGGTTATCATATCTTGAGTAAACTTGTCTGTCATTAAAAACGGTTCTTCTGACATAGTATCATCAGTTGAGTACCATCAAGAGGGCAACATTTTAATATGAAACATTGCATTACGTGTTGTTAACATTAATTGAAAGTAATGCCTGCACACGATGCCACATTGGATAATAGAAAGGCAGGAACACAGATATGAATTATTTTGTAGCATCAAAATATGATGCTTAATCTTTAATGAATTTCCAACAGTAATCGCCCAAATTTCTTTAACATTATGTAATCCAGTGAATTCAATTATTTGGTCAAGTGTAGCTTGCGGCTTATCAATAGAGTCCTCTTGAATATCCAATAACTCATTTGCCTACCATCACAGTATTAATTACCTCTTTATTAAAATTAAACAGTGTTATAACAAAAAAGTATTAATTACCTCTTCATTAGTTACATCTTGTTGAGAAATTCTATTGGCAGTATAATATACCAATTGATTTATTTGATCATATAACATTTTCAAAATGTTAGATTTAAGATATCGTTGGAGACATTGATCAATTTCAGTAAACAAAAAGTTTACTTTGTCTTGATTCTGAGCATTCGGTATTGCTGCATGCCAAAATCTATATTCAAAATATAAATTATTGTTATCTAACATTACAAGCCTTAATTGATATTGCTTTCTTAATAATACCTATATTCATTTTCCATGTCTTGAAGATTAAGTAGTCTGTGTATTTCTGATGCAAGTTCACGTAACGAAACATTGGAATTATGCAACAAGTTTTTTAATCATCCATTTACTGATTCAACACAGGATGTAGCGATCATGCCTCCTGTAAATTTATATTTAATAAAGCAATGTGCCCAATGATCTTTTGATTTATAAAGGAATTCCAAGTAACTTTTAGCATTAGGAAAATCTTGTATGAGATTATTGAAGTAATGTTCAAAGGCATCCTTGGATAAACTATTTCGACAACGATAAAAATCATTAAGAAAACGTTGATAAGTTTCTCCTAATTTTTTTCTGAAATTTTTGTGTAAGTTTTGTGTAATGTGGTAAGCGCAATGTATAGGATATGTTGAAACTAATATTTGACAAATTGCAGAGTCAACAGCTGGATCTGCATTGGTCAATATTACAGAAGAGTAAACATTAGTAGCTTTAATAATTTGTTGAAACATCCATGAATGTGATTTGAAGCTTTCATCAATCAAAAGAGCTTGTGCTAATAAAATATTTTGTCTGTTATTATCGAATCCGACAAATAATGACAAGGTCATGCCATATCGATTGGTTTTGTGTGTCACATCATTTAAAACACAATCAGAGTATAGAATCCAATTTTCCACTTGCATTAGTTCATCCAAAGTAATCGAGTTAGAGTATTGTCATCATCCCAATCTCGGGCAACAATCCAACGTGAGTCTGTATCCTTTTTTTGATCAAGCCAATTTGAGATCTAGAAATAGTTCTTGTTAGATTTATAATTTATTGATATAGATACTTACTAATAATCATAAATTTACCTGTACAGCATTATTGTTCAATGTTTTACTATTAGGTCGAAATTTTTGTATAGCAGCATATAAATCTTTGGAATAGATTAGTTGTGTAGGATATTTCTCTTCAAGAAATTTTCGTTGAGATGTAGCTCCAAATTTGCAGTATATGGTCATAAATCTTACATTTTCCAACATCACGTCAGTAAATTTCTTGTTATCCTCAAATTTGATTTTTTTTGGATTCAATAAGTGATTATGCTCATCAACAATTTTATTGACAATTACTGAGTTTTCAGAATTATTGATTTTAGGGCATGATACATTAACTAGAAAATGGCATTGTGTTTTTTTTGTATTTGTATCTTTTGTTGAATTCGATTCATAAGTACAGCCATGATCACATATAAAAGCTCTTCATCATACAATGTTATTATCACAGTAAACATGATCTTTAATTATACGAAATCCTCGAAACTTTGACTATTCATTAAGAAAAGATTCACACAATTCCCAAATAGCAAACTTTTTTTCTGAATATAAGGATGATGATTTAATATTATTACAGGATAACAAATCATCATGTATTCGTAAATAACCTGTTACAATAATGTAGCATATTAAATGTATAAATTAGTTTGTTTACATATAAATATAGTCAAAATTTAACTATTACTTGTATAATCCAAAGAGCTGCCAACATCGAAGATTTTTTCTTCAGAGCTTTTGGTTATAATAGGCTTCAAAGAGCTACCAACGTAGAGAACTTCTTCTTCAGAGCTTTCAGTCATAATAAAAATAGCCGATTAAGCGATCACAGCCACTAATAATAATAATATTCAAAAAAATCAGAAAAGAAAATAAAAAGTCAGCAATGACTAAAAGAGAATTTTTGATAAGAAGATAACAAGAACTAAACACTATCAATAGAAAAGCGTAAAAGGCTTAAAATTCGAGAAAAGTATAGCAATTACAATTTAAGAAAAAAAACTTTTATAAGTATAAAAAGCCTAGCCATAATATCTAAATTTGCATAAAGAATCTAGCACAGATAACAATATAAAAAATCAACACTATACCTATGCTCACATTAAAGAGAATTAAAAGAGAAGTAATTTTTGCACTTAGAATGCGAAAATCACTAAAAAAAACAAATCTCACGTGAGTACAAAAGACTAGCAATAGTCAAAAGTTCTTACAAAAAATCAGACACTTGCAAAAAAAAAAGTAAAAGATCGAATACCAACAATAATGCTACCATGAACTGCAAAAAGGAAGTGTTAATAGATAATTCGTTTAAAGATATGTACGTTCTTTTCTGCATCTGCCTTCTTCATTATATACACTATCGTTAACTATTCAGAGATTATATAATCAAAAAAATGGAAGAACTCAAAAAATTTGTAGTGTCAA